ATGAAAAGGAGGCCGCAATAATGAAGGCACATGTGAAAAAATGGGAGTCAACTATAAAAACGAATGTGTCTTTCCTTCTACATCTATGTCATAGCAGCTAATTTATATTTTGCATTTATTTTTTGGTGTTATGAAAGGATACAAATCAATGCCTCTTATACACTTATACCAGTCTTTTTCTTTTCCCCCTTTTTACTGTTATGAAGGAAGGACCACACGTCTCTTCTGTGTCCACCATTCCAGGCAGTGCTCCTTCACCTTGGCTACACATTAGAATAACCAGAGGAGCTTTATAAACTTCCCTATGCCAGAATGCACCCCAGGCCTCTAAATACCATCAAACTTTGCAGTGATGGAATCCAGGCACCAATATTTTTTAAGGTCCCCTGATGATTCCAACATGCAGCCAAGGCTGACAAGTCCAGAAGTAAACAGACTAAAGTGCATCTAAACAGCGCCCGCTTTTCCTGGGTAATCTCACCTATCTCCACATGGGGACACCGCACCTCCTATTCTGGCCGGACTTGTTCTTCCTGCTCAACCGTGTCCAATTTGTACTCAAGTTCTGCCTGGCGCCGCTTCCAGAACTCCAGAAGTATGGTGACTAACAGAGAGAGAGAACAGCAGATTGTGGATCTTCAGTGATGACTGATGCTTCAGAAATCTGTACTTAATATTTATTACACTTAACACTTTGGTAAATGGTTAATAAATTCACATTTTATTTATAGGCGATACTAAAGAGAAAAATGAGTTAATAACTTTTTTTAAGAAAAAAGAAAATGTAGATAATTTATTGAACTTTTGGAAACAGACTAGCTGTCTAGCTCAGGGGAAAGATATTAACGTGATGGTCAGAGGCAAGTGACTGTGTCTGATGCTAAAGTGCCAGCTACCAGGACATTATGCCCACTAAAAACACAAATATTGGGGGGAAGGGTGGGTATAGCTCAGTGGTAGAGCACGTGCTAAGCTTGTACAAGGTCCTGGGTTCAAGCCCCATTGCCTCCATTAAAAAAGAAAGTAAAAAAAAAGCACAAGTAGCCGTCACAATTTAAAAGCACTGCACGGTCCACCCTCAAAATCTTCTCCTCACATCCCTCTGTCTTTTCTGTCCGAAGGGCCTGAGGGTGTGGAAGGGGAT